AGTGTGCAGCCCCGTGCATCTGCCGAGGAGCGAAAGGTAAGCCAAGCGCATGGCGCCTGCACCTGTGCTCCTGCCTGAGAACTGAAGCGGCCCGAACGGGAGGGCTGCTTAAGAATACCCTAGAACTTCGTGGTGAGGGCTGTCTCCTGCCACCTGGATGTAAATCTCTGCAGGCAGAAAGAACAGGACGTGGGCCTGCCACAGGCCCTGTCTCTGGTACTCATTTCTCCCCATGCCACACAGCCAGCAGCACCTCCCAGATGCCAGCCCAGTCACACTCATCAGCAGGGCCCAGCAACACGCAGCTCCAGCTTTCCTTGGCTTTCAGCCGACACTCGGTGTGAAAAAGCACATCTGTACTTCTGTCCCTAGCCAGAGGGATGGCCAAGGCCACTGGCCAGCACACAGCCCCTCACGCTCAGCAGCGGCGTTTTGCTCCATGCTGTGTCTAAGAACAGCGGAGCCCTGAGCAATTTTAAGTTAAACAGGGCAGAACATGCGGCAACTTGATGCTGTATTCCACAGCCTCTGGGTCAGGTTTAGTGCATCCTCCTGCACCTTTAGCAGAACATGAAAATCCCAGACACAGGTATGAAGCGTACGTAGCAGGCAAGCAGAAAAGAGACTTCTCTCACTCCAGGCAGGTCTGCCCTTTAAGTACTGACACAGCCAGAAACTGCTGATACCTGCCAGCATTTCTATTAGTGCACAATGTGCTCACATTACCTCCTCCTCTCATAAGCTTTCTACTAATGTTTGCACCTGCTCTTCCTCGTCTCCTGCTTCTTTTTGTGCTAATAAGCTCCTAGTCCTCCTCCCTGGAGCATGACTCAGCGCCCCTGCTCCACCCCCCCACCTTCATTACAAGTTATCACTATCAACGCATCCTGCTATATCCCCTCTATACCCCACACAGTGATCTGTTCCCAAAGCCTTTCAGGAGCAAAGAACCCACTCCTTCCTAGCTCACACAATGCAGAACACAACAATTTCAGAGCAACACAGAAAGTGTGCAAGCTGTCACATAACCTGCAGTATCTTCACCAAGCACCGTCATCCTCAAGCTTTTCAAAGCCACCCTTCCTCTTCCTTTAAAAAAGTTTCGTTTCCCCTTCTCATCTTCCCAGTTTCTACCCAACAAAAGCACTATCACTCTTTAACTTATCTCAAGCCCCCAGAGCTCAAACATCAGGGTTGTTGGATTTTTTTTGTTTTTGTTTTTCTTTTCAGTGTCAAACAGTCTGTACTACCTATTTTCTTCTCCCAACACCTACATTTTAATTTCCAGTAAAACTGAGCCCCAAACTCTACCTGTACTGGCTCAAAGGATATATACTGCACTCATTCTGGAGCTGAAGAGGATGGACAACTTTTGGGTGGGATAGTCACAGACCAGCACATCCAAACACAATGGCAGTGGACCACTTTTTCTGTGGCTCCTAGCTCTTGTCCTCCAGTTACAGGATGTACTCTGACACTCCCCAGGGAGAAAGTCGCTGCTCTAGCAGAGGAAGGAAAAAAAGGAGCAAGACAACAATCTGATTCTCAAAGCCGTTATATCACCCGAATAGCGAACACAGTTTATTTCTAAAACAGCTGGAGTCCCATATTTGACAAAGTTGCAGACAGATGGAGCTTTCCGAATCAGGCTGACACTGAAGGAAACTTACAATACTTTTGCTGGAAGAGCTACAGTAGTGAGATGCCAAAGTCCCTGCCAGACAGAGCTGTCACTCAAAGACCCCCGGTACAGCTGGTGATACCGGCAAAACCTGTGCTTTTCTTGGTAGACATCTTTCACGAGGAGGATTTGGGGGAAACGAGGAAGTTTTGGCAGAAGGGATGTCACTTTTCCAGCCCAAAAGCATCCCGCATGAAGGGCATCTGGTGGGTCTACGGACCCAGCACTGTCACAACAGCAAAAGCTGCAGGCATACCTTAGACCTGTCGACAGGCACAAAAAACAAAAGAGAACCTGTAATTTACTTCTCTTGATCCAGTGTAAACAAGTGTGCTTGCAGCAAAACATATTCTTTGGACGGTCACAGGGCATAGTTCAGAAATTCTTTGGTTGTCAGATCGCATGAAATTCCCCCTAATTTTTTTTTCACCTCATGGTGACAAGTGACAGAGCGACGTGGGAGGCTGAAGAAAAGATGCCAGTGTAGCGCCAGGAGAGGGTGCACGATTCCAGCAGAGTGGAAACAGCCTTTTCTTCAGTACAAGCTCAGGCTCCAGCCCCAGTCCTCAGCAGGTGCTTTTCCCCACTGCCACTGTAGTGCTGATGTCTCAGCTGCGTTCACGCTGTCTCCAGCAGAACACCGGTTTCCCGCAGGACTGCCAGGAGGGGTTAAAGCTTGTAGGAAGGTGCCTACTATCTATCTGAAGTGATATCTTAGGAAGTGAAGGAGAAATAGAGCACTTCTTTTTCCTCTGGGGGAAGAGAAGAGGTTGTATCCTTAAATATCTATCATGTCAGTCCAAATTGAAGTCAGAGTGCTAGTTTCCAAAAACTGTAGTTAAGTCAGTCTTGAAAGAACTGGTGATCAAGCACCTCTGTTGCAAAAAAACACATATATTTATGTATGTGTACCTTCTGCTGCAGACATTTTCACTCAAAGTGCCCAGAATTAAGTCCCTTGTCATGCATGTCCTTTGGATCGTCTCATGCTCACAGGGCAAGGAAGCCTGAACCTGACAGTGGATTTCTAGCTGAGAAACCAGAGAGTCTTTGAGGCATGCTCAGTTCCAGTCATTAAAAAGAAAAAAGTGACCCATTTCTGACCAAACACAAAACACGTCATCCAAAGGTACGGGGCAGAAAAGCAGGCTGAAGGTGGACGTTGTAAAGAAATAAAAAGTAGTCAATATGAAATCAATAACATTACAACTGTCTGTTATATAGTTTTATTTGAATAATCCTCTATATTAATGTCAAAGCAGTTTATCTTGGAGTGAATATATGTATCTTCATCCACAAAGAGCAGACTTTTGCGCTTTCAAATTGTTTCCTGCTCTGTGTTGCTGTAAACAGGGCACTTAAGAAAATGAATAGCAAGAAGAATCACAGAAACTGTGCACCATGAGGAGGGGGATTTCTACCTTTTCAGGTTATCTGCTCAGTTATTTTCATTTACTTACTCAAAATTTTTGACCCTTTATCAGTTGGCCAATTTCTCTTGTCAAAGCATAAAAAAAAAAATCCAAAGTACAGATACATATATTAAGATGAAAGAAAAAAATAAGGTGACGACAAATGGCAATGTATGATGATCTGCTATGAGGCACAAAAAGAATTTTCTGAGAGGACCATTAAATTACCTACCAGTATCAATGCAGAATTTCAGACAAATAGAAAAATGCATAGCAGGCCAGAAAATGCTTTTTTTTTTCCTCCAGATTGGACCTGGTAAACTGTATAAATCCTACTTTATGCAGAAATCTGCTGCACCATCATGCAGTTGTCCAGGCAGAAGAGACCAACTCATAAGTTCTACTTCACAGCTAGACATGAAAGGGGACAGTGCCAAGAAGGAGGGGCCTGCGCATCCCTTTTTGCCGCAGAGAATTTCCAGCTCACCAGGGATGGACTGCAAAAGAACAGAAAGACAGAAGTGCCAAGAAGGCATTGTCTCAGCCTCGGAGTTACACGGAACTGCTCTGCTTGTGCAAGCTCTGGGCAGAGTCCCCAAAAGCATGGATCCCAGCAGAGGCAGAGGAAGGGACAAACCGTATGTAAGAGAGAGAAAGTAAGCACATTGCTCCATTCACAATAGGCTTTCCATAAACACTGTTAGACTCCAAAGAGAATAATTCATAGGAAATCCACAGAAATTTTCTACAGAACAGGTCTTACAAATACCCATTTTACAAGCAGGTATTTGTAAAAAGGAAAGAAAAAGATCCCACAAACCAATAAACATGTATTCTTGGGTATGTATTTTCCTGTATTTGGCAGATGGAAGTTTTTAAGAATAGTCTTTGACTGTTAACAACCTGTAAAATTCATGGAGAAAAAAACCTGATTTCATCGTGTACTTCTGGGGCTAGGAGGAAGTGTTTGCAGTGATGTATTCAAGTTGCAGTTCATGATTTTTGATGCTGGCTGAGCTGATGCTAGAAAAAGCCCACGGTTCTGATGTAAAGAGGTAAGAAAGACTTGGGTCAGCTTATCCAGGCACAAATCAGTTTGTAACAGTTCTTTTGTTATACAAATCATCCTTGGAAGTTAAGAATCAGGTAGGAATTTGCAGGATTTCCCTTCTGTAAACAGATGGAGGAAATCAGAAGCATGTTTTCCATCCTTCTGAAAGGAGAATCAAATGATTCTCCAAATGAGTTTTAAATGCACTTACTGCAAATAGCTGGAAATGATCACAGCCCAGCTTGTGAGACAGAAGTTGTCTTTCTCTGTAAAGCTCATAAAAAGCAGGTTCTCCATTATATACTTCTTGCGGGTGTGGAGGTGGGGTGAGCAAAAAAACTTTGGTTCACAACATTGTTTCGCATAGGCATTCAAGCAGATCTTCAAAAGCTACCGGCTGTCCAGGCTAGTAACAAAATACCCATGCTGTCTCCTCAGTAGTGGACGCTCCTCTTTGGTACCCTATTTTGTAAGGCAGACGTGTTGCAGAGACGAAGGAGTCATACAGATGCATCTTTGAAAAAGGAAGACAGTGTCACTTGAGTTGCCACAAACAAATTCATGTACTTCATTATGGAACACACGGGAAACCTTCTCTTGATAGGGGGTGGAGGAGGGAGAAGAGAAAGCACCAATACATTCACTACTTGCTAGAAGCAAGTTATTTTGCTCTTGTGGTTAGTTGTTAACAGCTGTCAGTAGCTGTGATATGTCTGTGTTGACAGAAAATGTGGAATTATTGCTTTGTGAGTAATTTTGAGTAAGAAGGAACAGGAGGGTAATAAATCCATCCAGGCAGATACAGCCCTGTGGCAGAAAATGTAAATATTCAGTTTGGGAAGCATTCTCACAGTTACTAAGTGTGATACTTACTTGTTGACTGCGTGATGCACGAAACCTTGTAGGACGACCACATGCTTAAAACACAAAGGATCGTAGCTACGAACCCGAAAATCTGGATGAGAAACCAAACAAACCACAAATACTTGCAGAACATTAGATGACACATAGTCCATGAATGTATGGATGCTCTTGTATACCCAGCTACGTATTTTAAGACATTAACAGACCAAAAAAAGTGATTTTTTACTCTGTTCTGCCAATATACTAAAAAAAAAGTTTCCATAGTATAATAGCAGCTTATGTTTTGTCAAAACAGTGACTGAAAGACAGACTGAGAATCATATACAAGGAGGGAGAAAAAGCTGGACAGCAGCATAGTCTCCCCTTCCGGACTTCTCACTAGGATTCTGCAACAAAGAAAAGACTTTTTCTAACACCTCTGATTACTGCTCTTTTACTGCCCCACGCAAACAAATCTTTCCCTGCCATCTACCCAATAAACAAGTCAGGTAAGTCTTCTAGTCCGTTTGCATCATCAGGACTAAGTTTCTGAAAGCAATTCTTTATTCTGGAGGAGTTGTATTTCAGGTCCTGCTGCTGTGAAAATACTATTGCCCACACTTAGAAGCCATGCCTCTCTCTATAAAGCCCTCCAGCCAACAGAGGCAGAGACTGTCTTCCAGTAACTCAGCCCAGGACCCCAGTGGGTTTCAACTCAGCAGAAATTATCTTAAACAGGGCTCTGTTCAGGAGCAGGAGGCATCAAAAGACAAAGACTGGACTGAAATCCTTTAGGTTACTTCTAGCTGCCACAACAGCCATTTGTCAAAACTGAGATGTCTTAATTCTTCCCCTAAACATATTAGTTCCTATGAGTTCAAACAGGAGCCTTTGGTTGCAACTCTCTGACAGGATAAACACCCACTTTAGTGGCGAGTCTGGAGTCTCACAACTAAACGTTTTTGTTGGCATTGTGTTACAGAACATTCACTGAAATGAGCTAGAAGGTAGCGAGAAGTTCACCCAACCAAGGTACAAGCATGGCAATTCTGTAACAAAATAAAATTATAAGTAATAGATTTCCAATGCTCTACTTTATATATACTGCAACTATAAAAGTGCCAAGACTAATAACACAGTCTTACCGATCCAGCCACAAGTCCAGTCAAATTGTAACTCTTGGATGCTGCTACAATAGATGCAATGAGAAGCAGAATTGTACCAATTAAATAATGAAGAAACTCCTGTAAAGACAAGCACAGCCTGCATCAGAAGGGAAACTTTTCAGAAAAGCATTTCAATATGCCTCAGAATGAAAACAAGTTGGCAGATGTTACTCAAACCCAGAAGACAAAAGATGAGTCAAAAGAAAAAAAAAAAAAGCTTAAAAGAAAAAAAAAAAACACGTTGTGAGCAGATTTTTGTACCATACCTGACTTTTTGTTCAAAAAGGGAGAGAGGGCCAATCTCCAGGTCTACTAATGCCACTCAAGTAAGGTCTACTTACTGGATATGGACACAATCCTTACAGTTCAACTTAGTACATTACTGAAGGTGAAACACATATCTTTACTGCATCAAGTATGCCCCTTATTTACAGAGACAGTTCTGCAGGAAGGTAGAAGGCTTAAGGGCATATTTCTCTAGCCTATATGAAATGGCAATAAATGGCAGCAAATGGCATAAGTGGAAAACCAAGTGCTCCTACTTCTGATAATCTTAGAAAGCAAGCAGTGGATCTACCGCTGGATCTACTAACAATTTACATCAGCCAAGTCTGAGAACAGGAGAGAACCCACAAAAAGCACAACCATGTAGACACTCATAACCAACACCCAGCCTCCTAAGCCTGTAAGGGTGGCTGCAAGCTGTCCTGCACTAAAACATGATGCCACAGGTTTTTCTGAGAGAGCACTGAGTCACCACATTTAAGCTCCTCTCCAGTGTGATGAGTATCAGTCAGGAGTCAATTTTACCTTATTATAAGCAGGGGTTATTTGTGGATTTAAGTTTTGAATCCTCACAACGATTATGGTAATCAATATGGGTGTTTGCAAACTGAACACGGGTTGTTTCTTTTGTGTGGTGGGTTGGGCAGGACGGCATCTGCTCAGTTTATCTGCATTGCACTACCAGCACGAGCCAAGCAAATGCCATGCATAAGGCAGAGGAAATATTCTGTCTAAAATGAAAGGAGAGAGAATATAGTCCCAATTCAAGAAATACCAGAAGAGAAACAGACCATCACACCAAACCACTGAGGAGGACCTTTGCCATAAAGTAGGCTCTGAGACTGCAACTTACTTTCCTCATTTGTAACCTTGTTTCAGGTAATCAAGATCTCAACCCTTGCTTTTGCTAGAATTAATTATTTCCATCAGGAGGCTTCCCTGGCTAGTCCATGATGCAGCAGGCAAATTAGGCACGCCATTGCCTCCATTGCAGTGTACACAGGCCACTACTTCAGAGGAATACAAGGGATGGGCAAAGGTGCAAAGAATCATCAAAGGCTAAATTACATGGAGAGCGAGCCCCTGGCACGACTGGGAGAGTGCCCCTCTGGAGACATACTTCCCAGCTTTAAAATGTGTCAGCGCTGAAGAACCTCTCGAACCACCACAACTTTACTGACTGCAAATAACGCCCCTGATTGCAATGCAGAGATCCTGTGAGGAAACCGAGACAAACACCGGCTGTAGTTTCCCAAAGTCTCTGACAGGCCTTCCTATTCTATTCCAAGGATACTTAAACGTGACTGAGAACGAGGTTGGTTGTAAAAGAGCAGCAATGTTCAAGCATTGCATCCCATAAAGCTATCTGTAGCTGAGCAGCCACAAACTGCAGTGCCTTAAACTCACTAGTGACTCTAGAACATTTAGGAATGATTAAGCACACAGCAAAAAACAAAAGCAGCCTATGCAGAGGTCAAAATGGCACAGTCTTCTTACAGCAATGCACACCCTAAATGCTGCTTTGCAAAACTAATTTATTGGCTTACTTCAATCCCTGCATCTGTACTATCTCTAGATAAAGAAGTACTTTCTAGAGACAGACAGTGGTGGCACACATCTGAAAAAATAAAAAGGGGCACAAGTCTAACCATAATCTTGAGCTACAAGGAAAATTAATTTTTTTCTCTCTAGTTAGAAGCGGATGGATGAACAAACAGTTATCTTAGATCTGCAAACTGCTTACATAGCTTCCATTAAACACCATCCAACCACTTCTTGGATTTCAAAATCTTCCTATATCTCTTCAGTTACCTTTCCTCATCCCTTTGCTCCTTCCTCTATGGAACTAACATGTCACTATGTGTAAGGGAGACATGTTCTAAGAGGTTATTAAAATCTGTCATCCCACACTAGGGTGCAGGACTCTTCGTTAGCTGACCTGACCCAAAGCTAGTGAGGAAGTTCAGGTCTGGCATTTTCTGTGCTGCTTGTCAGCTCTCTGCTAGGATATGAGAGATGGATGTACAGGGGAAATGTGGGAACGAGGCAGGAACATCCTGCAGGATATCCCAGGAATGGCGAGGCTATGGCCATCACCTATTTCTGGCTATTGTGTAAGTTACCTGAAACAATACCAAAAAGAGACATATTTGGCTTAAATAGCACTCATAGGCTTTATTTTGGGATGGGATGTAGTACATGAATTCTAATGCTGTGACTTGGTACTCTAGCAATCCCTTTGCTGCTATAAATGACCTGAGCTAGAATCCATCTGCTGAAGGACTGATAATCAGTAGCTTCTTTTCAATTGTCTCAGAATAACACTATTGCCTTCTCTGGAGTAAATCTGGATTTCTATCTGTGTAAAGGAGTGCAGGATCAGATCCAAATCATCTGAAAAACTTACAACACCCGCTGAACTGAATACTAATAACAAAAGCAACAAAAGGATTTGTATACAAGACAAAAGAGGATTACACAAAAGACTGCCTATCATTGTGTGATAGAACAAGAAAATGGACTAAGTAATCGAGACATCAACCCACAAGAAAGGCAAGGAACCCTGACTTACCGCAAGTGGCCAGCTAACACAAGTGAGCTTCCTGTAGATTCTGAAAATGTGGATCATGTAGAAGAACAAAATCATAACCAAGTCACACATGGTGACAATCTGAAAATAGCTGTATGCACTGTAATCCGTCCATGGAGAATTATTTACACTGATGAATCCAACCAGCAGTGAGATCTGAAAGACAAAAGGCACATTAAAGATATTTGCAATGGTGCTCAGAGGGCTGTGGAGATGCTTTTAAACACAACAAAATGTCACTTAGAAACAGAAGACAAATATCTAATATAAATTGGATGGTCCCAACAAAATGGAGGACAAAGTAACAAGTATGGGAACACCATTTTAAAATTTGCTGTTAACTGAGCTAAAACAACCATTAAGAGTGGGGAAAAAGCCAACTGCTAGAAGGAAAGCAGTAGCTTCAGCCTGAAGAATCCAACCTGAAGAAGTCTCTATGTACAATCCAAGGGGTCTCAAACAGAGAAGAGGCACTGAATGCCTGGAGTTGCATCAGTGACTAAAGCAGCTAAACCCCACGGACTTTCAGAAGGAAATCACTGAAAGCTGTAAAAACAAAAGTGCCCATGAACACATGCGCCTTTATTTCCATTTAGTGAGATTTCTCACATGCAAAATCAGAGGACCTGACTGCAACTGAGCTAACAGTTTTACTCTTCCTTTTCTGCCATCTACAGAGCAGGAGCATTAGCAGACCATAAGGTAGTATCATAGCAAATAATATAAGGATTTGGAGGAATTGATTGATGCACTCCACCCCAATACAATACTTACAAAGTCTTAATATGTTAACATTGTCACTTGAAAGTATAAAGCATTATTGTACAACTTCTTTCAGTTGTAGGCTTGCAAAGGACAAAAGCTATTTTATTTTTTTAATCTAAAGCTACCTGTTTATTTTACTGATCTTGCTGCTTGTACCAGCCTGGCTAGCCTGGTGATAAAAGTAAATCTACCAAGCATATATCCAAATATTCTCTTATTATAGACTTTGTCAATGCATGCTTTCAGCCACTGTAATTTTTAGTTCATCCAAAGTCAGCCAGGAGCAGTAGTGATTCACATTTCAGGTGTTTCTCCAAGATGTTAAAAAAAACATCTGAGGAAGCCAGCATTTCAAGACTGCACCATCCCTCCCTGCACACTCATCTTCCAAACTCCCAAGCAACTGCATCTATTATCAGAATAATTTCCTTTAGATTAAAAGGCAAGAAAACCCCAACACCCAAACAACATAGCTTAGATTCTCCCTGCTGTAATTTTAACTGAGTTTCACCTGCTCAGATCTAAGCGGACAGGTTACACATATGCATTCTCAACGGCAACCAAAAGCTCTATTCACACACAACTTCACAAAAAGTTTGCAAGAACTGGCACCTTGCCTAAATGCCATCCAAACCACCACATCAATGTCGCAACAGTGAATCACCTCAAAGAAGTGGCTCCAAAGAGAAAAGTCCATGCTCTGGGATCCTTTCCCACACAAGTGGCTAAGCTGCTGTTAGATCTGGTCCAACTCTATTATATTTACTGTGGTAGTCCAAGCAGTTGACAACAGCATCGTAAGTGATGCTCACTCCAAGCCAGTAGCACGCTTCTGTGCTAGAGTAAGCCTACATCTCCTCCCACCTTTGAAACAGATATAGAGTGGGGAAGACAGAGCTTTGAGGTGCAGGGCTAGATAATGTTCAATGCTTCTCAAGAACAGAGGTTACGCGTGCTTTTGAAAATGTGGTATTGCTCAGTATGTGTCCCCCCAAATATGTTCCTGCGCTCTGGTTTGGGTGTCATAGCACCATCCTGCATGTTTAGTACTTCTGTCTGTACCATGCCTGTTCTCTGGGTCTCGCAGCCTAGCCACCGGGGCACCCTAAATGCACAAAGTCTTGCACCTTGTGCATGGCAGAGCTTTCTGAGACGCTACATTTCTTAGAAGACAACAAAGCAATGCTTTCCACAATTCAGCATTTAAAGACTTCTGTCCTAGTTCTTCAATTCTGAGATAATTTCAATGAAGTTCTGTCCAATCTATGTCTACGTACACCAGGTCTACACTAAGCTGTGGTTTCATGAGAAGCCATAGCCTTTGTTATCTTCTCCTTCCCACCCCGACTTCACTCTGTCATCCTTGTCACGTACTAGCTCCTTCACTCATCTGTGCTGAGCCACCTCAGTGTACTAACTCAGCAGAAAAGGGAACTAGTAAAAAAAGCAAACAGCTTTACTGTGAGTCTGCCAACACACAAGGCAGGGTCAGGTAAGCAAGGGAATGTGAGGGAGAAGCTAGGACTCCAAGGTGAAGGATAGGAAGGACTGAGCAGGCAGAATGGCAGCAGCCAGTAACCACGTTGGCTCAAGCTGCCACCGACCATCCAACTCGGG